ATTTGCCTATGCTCCGTTAGCAGACTATTTAGGACGCTGTTAGATCACTTGGACTGGACGGAAAAACTCCTGAGTTCACCGAGCGCCACCGTGTTGTCCTAATCCAAACTGTTCCTTGTCCTTATCCCCCATCCATCTTTCAGACAGCGGCCTGAGGTCAGTTATGTCGTCTAATGCCGTCCATGCTATGCAGGGTTATTTCCTTGGATGGTTTAAGCCTCACGGACTACTTCAAACTGGTGGTTAACTGGTTATCCTAATCTTAACAACCATTGAAGCTGGCGGCCAGGAAGGTATCCAGTGTGTATGGCCAACGAGAAGCGACCGATTCATGTCATTTTACGAAGGGTGTTAAACCATTAAATGGACAACAGAAAAGGCCTTCCTATTGCAAACCGGCGCATGTCATTCCCCCCGTGATATATGGATTTGCAGTCTCAGCCAGGCCAGTCCAAAACATCTGCATGATTGTTTGCCTAGCATGCAAGTTATTTAATTTTGCAACGATCCACGACATAGACGGCTTGCATCCGAATAATTACTATTCTGATTTATTGACCCGCTTTGCATAGTAAAAATCCGGCGCTTTTCACAGACCTATCTCGGAAAACTGTTTTGATACGCATTTTATGCCTTGATGCTCGCGAACGGTAAGAAAGTCCCGTTTGATATCGAAGTTTCGCCTTGGTTAGCAATTTATGTTTTACCAACAGCTACGATAATAAGTCTCAGTTAATATATAAAAGAAAGTTAGGTCTATACCGAAATAAACCAAAATAATTTTCTTTAAGACATATTTGCTTAGGAGAACATTCTTTTGCGTCTTTTTGGGGTTACTTCTATGATAGAGGCAATTGGAGAAGAAAAACCCTTTGAAATTTTCACCAAAGCGTTCAGATGGGCTGACTGAGGCGGAAAGACGGCGGCTAATTAGCCAGAAATGACCACCCAAGTTCCCCTTTTCCTTGCCAGTAATCTCCTTCTGCACATATCACTAGTCGCTGTGCAGCCTACTGCGGGACTCCAGATACATCCTAAAGCACAGTAGGAAGAGCAGGTCCTGAAACACTATCGTGAACGCCTTTCCACCACAAGCATACATATATGACCTCCCCCGCCTCCGGTCTTCTTGTCTGCGTCCTGACACCGGGCTGTGGTGTGAGGGGGAGAAAGAGCGATGGATTCAGCGCCCGTTTACACTCACTATAAACTAATTCACGCATAAATCGCCATGTATGCCTCACCTTACTGCGGAACACACGATGAACATCGTCAGATGCGACGGTCGAACTGTCATATGCCCAATCGAAAATGACAGCACAGCGAGCCCGCGGCCCAGCGGTTAGTTGGATTGGACTACTAACCAACAGATCGCGGGATCGAGTTCCAGGTTTTTCACACATCGGGACTGACGACGGCCAATAAGCCGGAAATGGCCATTCCAGTCCCCCTTGCCTTTGTCGGTAATGTCGTTATGCATATGTATGTCCTGCATTGAGTAATGTCTGAACTTACTAGCTTGATTATTCTCTGGAGTTCGTATACCAGAAAGTGCACAGAGGACTCTGGGGGACCCACCGGGGAGCCGAACCCCTCGCAGCTGTGTAACGCAGCGGCAGAATATTGGCGAGACACGTGTCTGGGTTTTTAGCTGGAACCTATGTCGGAAGTATGGTATAATACCTTTGATATATGTATATATATTGTGATATTAGAATGGCACTCACTAACGCGCCAGACACTGACAGTTGTTTTACTGTCGTTATCATGAACCTTCACTTCATAAGGTACATGACAGGCCTATTATGTACTAAAGATTGATAATGACCTCAAAACAGCTGTCTGCGACTGACGCGTTCGTACCTTCACGAGCATAAATTGAAAAACGGTTGTAGAACGTATTCCGAGATTGCATAATGAAAAAAGAAGTCTCTTCGGTAACTCCAGTTGTTATGGGGAATTTTCGAGTTGGTGACACCAATCCGTCGTCAGATGAATTGAACAGAGGGGAAATCAGGATCGGCAGACTAGACCAACTGGCGCGGCAGGCAGACAGCGACGGACAG